CTTGTTTAATGAGGCTTCCTGGCTCCTGGGGACTGAAACTTAGGTTAGATCAACTTCAGCAAAAAGGGAGGTTTTGTTTTGATAGATGCTGGTGAAACTCACAGGATCCAAGGAAATGTTGCAGGGGCTTAGGCACTCTGGGTACTGGGACCAGGTCCTTGAGGCTCATCTGGGTCTGGACCTGCTTCAGCTTCCGTTCTGCTTTCTCAGATGTCACCAGGAGGTTGTCCTACCACTGGGAATCCTTGTGAGAAGAGTCCCTACCACTGCAGTAGCTAGTATATCTTCAGAAAAGCCTGGGGAAGGGTCCAAACTCATGGGTCCTTCTCTGTTATGGAAGAGTTTTGAAATTGGCCATCTATACCAGAGCTGTGTGAAGCTTAAGAGGAAGCAGTTTCTGAGATGGGGGATGCTTTTAGGGAGGATGGAACACCCCATATTTCATGGAAGGAAAGAGACCTCATGTCTCAACTGTGTTGGGATATATCTAGTCAGGTTCCCAAAGCTGAACAGAATAGATTTACTCAGTGAATGTTAGAATTTTGGTTTTAGAGATTTGTATACATGCTGAGGCAAGAGCTAGCTCACAGTAGGCAGTAAGGGAAAAGGACCCATGCTGAAAACTATATATCTCCCATATATGCTACTATGGGTGTGGTATTGTATTCCCCCAAATATTGTGCATGCTAATAAACTTATCTGGGGTCAGAGACAGAGCAGCCACAATACTAAACATAGAGGATAGGCAGTGGTAGCACACACCTTTAATCCTAGCATTCCAGAGGCAGAAATCCATGTGTTCAAGGATACAGCCAAGCATGGTGACTCACGCCTTTAATCCCAGAAAGCGAGCCTTTAATCCCAGGGAGTGAGGCAGAAAGCAGAAAGATATATAAGGTGTGAGGACCAGAAACTAGAAGCATTTGGCTGGTTAAGCTTTCAGGCTTTCGAGCAGCAGTTCAGCTGAGAGCCATTCGGATATGAGGACACAGAGGCTTCCAGTCTGAGGAAACAAGACCAGCTGAGAAGTTGGCCAGGTGAGGTTAGCTGTGGCTTGTTCTGTCTCTCTGATCTTCCAGTGTTCAACCCAATACCTGGCTCAGGTTTGATTTTATTAATAAGAACTTTTAAGATTCATGCTACATGTGGGAGTGGGTGTTAAGGTAAAAAGAGAATAGAAGGGTTGAAAAAAATGAAGCCAAGAGCACTAAAGATGGAGACAAAGATACTTGCATCTGGATTTGAGATATCCAAGTGGACCATAAGAGACAAATAGGCTCCAGGAAACAAGACCAGTGATAACAGGCTAGCTGGCTAGCTTCCAAAAGACCTTTCCCCTTTGGGAGATACATGCTAGATACTGTTGCTTATTACATATTCTTGCTTTTAATGCAGCTAATTATAATAGTCTGAGATGTAGTAAGGATGGCTGATAACATGCCAGCACATTATCAGGAAAGAGATCCCAGACAGTACTGTAGACAAGACAATAACAAGAACACGGCAGTGAGAATGAAGAGAGCTCCATATAATTGACAGTACTTGGGACACCCTAAATAAAGGTCAGGGACAGCAACAACAGTGACTGTAGTCAGGATGAAGACTAACAAAGCCAGGGCACTCAGTGCAATTGACATTAAGCAAGACACCTGGAAACGGGAAGGAAGTAACCCTAGCCAAATAACTAACAGCTTGCATATAGTCATGGTCAGTAAGCCAGAGCCAGAGGTGGACAGAAGGGCCTTCAACCAACCTTAACTAGGGGAGCAGTGCATGAACATCAGATGATTGTCTTATTGTTTGGACCAGGGGAACATGTTGAGTGTATGTGGGCCTTCCTTTGGCTTCACCAATGAGAGCCCCAAGAATTAACCATTCTCAATAGAGATTACCTCAGTCTTTTGTCCAATATCTGCCATTACCCTATAAAAACGTGGACAAAGGAAATGGTTCTTCTGTCTTGGAACTCCACCCTCTCTCAAGAGTTTCTTCTCACTCTTAAGTTCTTGATTTTTCTATAACTCTTAATAAAGCCTGTTCCATCTCGCATACTCCCATGAGAATCTGTGTCATTAATCTTCGTTGGTGTGAGACAGCATACTCAGCACCACTGTCCCAGGTTGATTTTCTTATAAACTTGAACATCCAGTATCTTAAGTCCTTAGGTCATGCATAACTTGACTTTGAAAGGTCCCATCACACTCAGAAACTCTGCATCAGTACTTTTGTATTCTGTACAGATGCCTATGATATAATGTTAAATGAAAAAGGCAGGTCACGAAATACTTTGTGTAACAGGTTCTATTCCCATAGAAACTACATGTTCCTGTATATGTTTGGATGAGTATTTTGTCTGCATGTATGTCTATGCACCTTGTGCATGCAGTGCCCACAGAGACCAGAAGAGAGCATCGGATGCCATGGGACTGGAGTTATAACAGTTTTGAACTGCTGTGTGGGTGTTGGGAATCAAATCTGGGTCCTTTGGAAGAGCAGCCAGTGCTCTTAACCATTGAGCCATCTTTTCCAGTTCCAACTGTATTATGTTTTTAATTTGAAAAACATCAGTGAAGAAAAAAAAAGAATAGGGATCTATTTCCAGTTGACTACAGAAGATTTGGGGACTTTTTGCCCTTATGCACAAGGAAAGTTAAACCCACAGGCATCCTTCAAAGGAAGGAGATGCTTACCTGTCTCTCTGGAATGCTTGGAATGGATATAGTTTACAACCTGGTGATCCTTTGCTATCTGTTGAGCCAACCTCCACCCACATCCCCCAGAATTTATGCTTTACTTATCCTAGACCCTTTTACCTAAATCTTGAGCATTGCTTCTAGGCCATGAAACCCATCCTTATGAGTGATGTCATTTCTGCCTTACAACAGCCTAAATGACTTCAATGTTAACACCCACAGTCATTATGTTTACCTCAGTCATTCTCCTTAAATCCTAAATCCTGGGCTCCATCTCTAAGTCAACAGTACCCATCTTCTCTGTGAAAGAAACTTAAACACATCTTAAGCTTTGCTATACTCAGGGGACTGAGTTAATTGTTATCAAAAAACTTTTTATTTCCCAAAATTGCTGTGCTTAAATATGGCTAAAATAAATCAACTGATGTCAGACTCTCAAAGTTTAGCTGAGCACCAGTTACTTAAGTTGGACTGATCGAGTTTCATTCTTCTCTTACCTGGATTATTTCCCTGCTGCCTGCAAGGACCCTGTTGTGGAATATTTGTTTAACCAGCCAAAGATGTGTTAACATTTGTTCATGCTGCATTTGTTAACTATGTAAAGATGTGTTGCATTTGCATAAATTAAATAAAATTAACCTGGGCCTAGAGAGGTGGGGTTAGCAACTGGTTGACAGGAAGTAAGAGAGGGGAGCTTAGCATTTTTTTTTTTTTTTTTAGTTGGGGCAGTACAGAAGGGAATGCCTTCTGGGTGCCAGTAAAGAGAGAAAGTTAGTCAGTTCTCTCTCTCCTCTCTCCCTCTCCCCCTCTCTCCCTCTCTCTCTCTCTCCCTCTCTCCATCTGTCTATCTATCTATCTATCTATCTATCTATCTATCTATCTATCTATCTATCTATCTATCTATCATCTATCTATCATCTATCTATCTATCTCTCAAGTTTTTCGAGACAGGGTTTCTCTGTGTAGTTTTGGTGCCTGTCCTGGAACTTGCTCTGTAGATCAGGCTGGCCTTGAACTCGCAGAGATCTGCCTGCCTCTGCCTCCCGAGTGCTGGGATTAAAGGTGTGCACCACCACCTCCCAGCTGCTACTCTCTCTTAAGCGCGAAGGTTTTCATTCTAGCCTTTGAAACTTTTATTAGAACGATAGAGATTTAGTTAGAACTACCTTTAGCATCAGCAACAGAGCCATTGCCTGGGGGAACAGAATTCCCCCAAGGCTAAAGTGCAGCCACTGTAGAGAAGGTAACACAACAGACCTACCCCCGACCCCCAAGGAAATGACCTTCTACCCAGTTCTTAGTCTTAAATGTGGCTGGTGGCTGCTGCATTGGAGAACACAGTTCCATAACTGGAAAATTCTAGCATGAGACATTTTGAAAGCCTAGACATTTTATTTTTCCAAGACAGACAATCTTGGTTTTGGTGGTCTCGTTAGACATGGTCTCACTGTGTAGACCAGGCTGGTCTGGAACTCATGGAGATCTGCCTGCCTCTGCTTGCAGAGTGCTGGGATTAAAGATGTGCAAACCTATTGAGGCAGTATATCTTAAACCTAGGTCTCTAGCCAGCTTGTTCCTAGGGTTCCCTGTTTCCACCTTCAGAAGAAGCTGCAATTAGAGATGGACTGCCATGTCCACTGGCATTTATTTGGACCCTGGGCATCCAAGCTCCCATTCTCTTGCTTTGTGGCAAGCACTTTAATCACTGTGCCATCTCATCTCCCCAGCCCTGTTCTGTTTTTTTTTTAATGAGCCATGGTTTACTTTGGAGTACCTCTTCCTGAGCCAGTGATCCGTTTTAGTTAGGGGGGCAGTGTTCTAGCCTTTCTCTTGGCCAACTATTTTTTCATACTGAATTTTGTAAGGCTTTATATGAAGCTTTCTGGATATCACTCTTAACCCTTTACTCCCACCTCACTGTCCAGTTATGAAAATGGTCTCAGGTTTTATGGGATGATTGGTAGAGGTTCTGCATCTGTACTTGGAACATATTCTTTATTCTTCAATGGACATGTTCTTTGAAGAGACTTGCTTTATCATTTTCTTTGAAAAAAAATTTTTTTTTAGACCAGACTCCTGAATCCCTGTTCACAAGGCTCTGTAAAAAATGAAAAACAGTGATAGGCAAAGGAAGGAGGGATCATGACAAACGTCCCTCCTGAAACTCAGATACCATGTGAAGAGGGCAGCCTGGAAAAGAGGAAGGTAGCAGAAGGAAAGGTGTTTCTTCCTGGTGAGGCATGACTCCTTTTTATAAATCCATTGTCATGTTTTCTCTGTCATTTCCACTTTGTTCTTTTATACCAGGTTATCAACCCCATGGGGTGGGATGCATTTGGATTACCTGCCGAAAATGCTGCCATCGAGAGGAATTTGCACCCAGAAAGCTGGACTCAAAGGTAAATGTTTAATGCGTACTCAAACACTTGTATATGGGAACCTTTTTAAAATATTTTTAAGTCTATGCATGAGAGAGACCAGAAAGCAAAAAAGAACAAACACAAAAACCACCGCAACATTGGCAAATTGCCAAGAGGAAAATAAACAGGAAGGTGTGCACTGGTGTTTGTCTAGTTAGTTAGTTAGTTAGTTAGTTAGTTAGTTAGTTAGTTAGTTAGGGGGCAAGGTGCATGTGTCACAGTGGCACATATGGAGGTTATGGGACAATTAATGGGAGTAAGTTCTCTTCTTCCATTTTGTGGGTTGTGGAGATCAAACTTGGGCTGTTAGGCTTGGAAGAAAACACCTTACCCACTGAGCTGTTGTGCAGCTCCTGATATTTGCCTCTTAATACTCTGTATTCCTAAGAAATACCAAAGAAGGTTGGTGTTTGTTTTTTCAGAGGTTGTTTGGATGCTTGTTATTTACCAAGCTATTCTTTCTTGGAGCACTTACCTTTATGAAGAAAGCAAAGTGGAGAGAATTGCATTTGTTCAGTTTCAACAGGCTTCTTGTCTTTTAGACCTGAGTTTGAACTATATCATTCTCATTTTCTGTGAAAATTTAATTTTTGTTTTCATCATTTATGAGCAAGGAACAACTTAGTGTAGCTACCTGAGGCTAGGTGTGGCTTTTTCTTAATGCCCCATGGCTCAGACTTCCCAGCCCTCTCCCTGCTGGTAAAGTATGGAACACCTTATACTAGAATCTTCTTGGACCCTTCATCATCTCACCCTTCAGATGCAGAAGGGCAGTTCAAGGGCCTGTCTTTGGAACCTCCACTGACTCTTCTCCTTTTCCCTCCTATCCCTTTACCACCTGCCCCCCTTTCTTTAAGATGAATATACATGAATGTATAGGTATGGGACCCCATACATGTGCTCAGCTGAACATGTCCACTGGGAATCACTTTACTGTTCTGAAACAGGGTCTGTCATTGAGCTGGAAGCTTACTGTTTTAGCTAGTCTGGCTGGTCAGTAAGCTCTCAAGACCTCCTTGGCTCTATCTGCCCCAAGGCAAGGATTACAGCATGCAAGCCATGGATTTTTTTTTTACATGGATTGTGGGGATTTGAATTCAGGTCCTTGTGCTTGTAAACTGAGCACTCTTATCTCCCCCCACCCCAACTATCCCCCACAACACATACACACACTATTTCCCAGCCCCTTCACCACTCTTATTTCTACCCAAGGCTGCATGGCAGGAAACTCACTGTGCTCTCTTTCCAACATATAATTAATTCTAGATTAATGGAAGTGATATAAAAGGATAAAAGGATAAAATGACAACTCTAATAAAGTAGATCAAATGTGGCATAAGTTGATTCCCAGCAACAAGAACTAAATTGACTAGTGAACTTCTCTGTTATCCAATCTTGGGACAGGTTTAGGTTCTGATTGACAGAACACTGTGTGGTTTCTTTTGAATTTCCCAAGTTTGTACATTAAGAGTGGTGTGTGTGTGTGTGTGTGTGTGTGTGTGTGTGTGTGTGTGTGTGTGTGTGTGTAGGTTTAACATTCACACACACAGTTCTGGGGATTGAATCCAGACCTTACACATGCCAGGCAAGAGCTTCTTCCACTGAGCTCCAAGCCAGTCTGGACATAAAGGTTTTTATTTGTTCATTTGTTTATTTATTTATGTTTTAGATCTCTTTAAAACTTGCTTGCTTGACTTAACTCTATATAGAACATAGACATATGGAGAGTCCAGGATCACACATTCTAGAGGTTGCTTGTCAGAGTGGCCAGGGGAAGGAGCTGCCTCCAGGCCCAAGACCAAGGTGACATCTAGTGATGAGTATGTCCAGATCCTGTGTGTCTGCTTGCATATTGATATTTTACTGACTCTTACGGTTTGTTTTTCTGCCAGGGCAAAGCAACAGTTAAGGCTTCCTTGACTGAGCTAGACTTTTAAGTTTTCTAAAAACGTCCTTAAAATGTCGTTCATCTATGGGCCTGACTTCCTCTCAAAGTCAAACTTGCTTCCCTTTGTTCCACAGCAATATTAAATACATGAAGAAACAGCTTGACCGCCTCGGCCTGTGCTTCAGCTGGGACAGGGTGAGTCAGCCTTTCTTCCTGAGGGCTCTGCTCTGTTCAGGGAAAGGCCTGATTTCGTGGGGCTCTTCCTCCTGTTTTTGTTGGGAGAAGGAGGGGAGTTGACAGGTCACAGGAGGGAAGGCTTAGTACTCCACAAACACAACAGAACCTGAGTGGGTATTTTGCCTGTGAACAAGTAATTTTCTGTGGGATTAAGCTAAGAGAGTTAACTTCTTTGACTTCATAATGGGCTGTGCTGTGTGTGGCAAAGGCTTTGCACAAGGATTTCTGGCTCATAGAAACAATTTAAAGGGATTATTGGAATCCACATTAAAGTGATTAAATGTTAACCTGCTGATCCTCTGGGTGATTAACTGGCCATTTGTTTATATTTTATTCTGTACTCAGAATCAGTAAACACACAGTTCTGCCACATGCAGTCTTTGGTCTGTATCTCTATCAAAGTTACACACCTGGGGCTGGAGAGATGGCTCAGTGGTTAAGAGCACTGACTGCTCTTCCAGAGGACCTGGGTTCAATTCCCAGCACCCACTTGTCAGTAACAACTGTCTCTAACTCCAAGATCTGGCACCTTCACACAGACATACATGCAGGCAAAATACCAATGCAAATGAAATAAAAGTACCTAAATTATTAGTTTTTTTTTTAAAGTTACACACAAAAGCCAATGGGAAATCCCAGACTCAGGAGGGTTCACAGAGGATCATGCCAGCTGTGAAAAAGACCTTTAGAGGCCCAGACATTGGAGGAGTAAGCTGCTGGGTAAAAGCTGCTGTTTGTCCTTCAGTGAAAGGCCCCATCCATGCTATGATCCCTCTTATCACCCACTCACTCTGCAGACTGAGTGGGGTTTTACTGAAGCATTGGGATAAATGTAAATTCAAGTCCCTTCCTTTCCTAGCAACCTCTTGAATGATTGATATAAAATGAGTATGGTGGAAAAAGACAAAGGCTGTGCTGTTAAAGAGAACAACTGTCCATTTAAATTTGTTTAAAAAAAATTGTTTTGTTTTGGGGCTCTCCCATGGGAAATTGTGGGGTTCTGCCAAGGGAAAAGCTGGTTGTGACCTTTTATAGGGGTGAGGGTGAGGGACTTGGGAGTGAGGATATTGTTGCAGCAGTAGGGGGCTACATGTCTCTCCTTCCTGAAATTGTTTGCCCAAGGTGGAACAATTTATTTAAACAAATTTAAAATGACAGTTGTACTCTAAAGGATCTACTGACTATTTAGTGTCTTGATTGTAAAACAGGATTCCTACAAGATTACACATGACCATGTTCAGTCTTTATTGGTCAACCCCAAGCCCCAGTGACACACTTTCTCTAAGGCCATGCCTACTCCAATAAGTTCACACTTCTTAATCCTTTCAAATAGTGCTGCTCTCTAAGCGTTCAAATACATGTGCCCTTGGGGGCCATTCTTACACAAACTACCGTAACCATCCATTGTCTTAAAAAACCAAAAACAACAAAAATAGCAAAACTTTTAGGACACGCCTAGAAGTTGGCAGGGCACTGCAGATGTTTTGCATATTATAAGATCACAATCAGGAATTGACACCAGTATGATACTGTTAGCTAGAGCTTAGTTCTTATTCAGATCCCCTCCCACATCTGCAGTATTGTGCTGTTTAGTTACTTGCAGGTTTGTGTGACCACCAGCTGCTCCATTGTCTGTTTGATAGGAATGTTTAAGGTCAGCCAGAGTCATCTCTACCTGCGGTCCACTTTACATGCCCATTTTGATGCTTCCTGGAATTGTAGGTGTGGTGGTGGTGAGGTATTGTGGCTCTCTGTTTCAGAAGTTTCATTTTGGTAGGATGGTTTGAATTTCTGGGCCATGGTGAGGTAGAGCATCATGTTCAAGCAGAGCTGTTCCTTAATGGCAGACAGGAAGCTGAGACAGTTTTCTTGGAGTCTCTTTCTCTGCCCTGGCAACTTAACACTGTCCTCAGCGTCCTTTCAGTGTGGATCCTCGGTTTTAGTTTCGCCTGCTGTTTAGAATATGAATGCTCTTGCCCAGGACCCTTCTCAAGAGCTGACTTTCTCTAAGCTCATTGCCTACGCAGCCCTCGGTCCCACCTTGGTCACCATTCTTTCAATCTTTTTTTCTTCTACTTTCTGGAAAACTTGTTGTTTTTATGTAGAACCAATGTTGCTTTTAGTATTGGTACTAATTTGTTTTTGTATTTTTAGATTTATTATTTTCTTTAATTTATCCAGCCCCATTTTTCTTCTCAAGAAAAGAAATGCCTTTTCTTAGCTAGGTGCCTTTTCATTATTTTGCTGTTATGTTCATCATAGACCACATATGTTCAGAAGTTTTCTGGAGTACAAACAGATATTTAATGAAAATTTATTTTTGCTTCCTACAATGTCTTTCACAGTTTAGAATGTTGCATGCTCCTTGTTTGTTTCAGAATCCCTCCTGGACTGAGTTTTCTGCTGTTTTCTTCCTTTATGACAGAGGTGGGATAGTGTGTGATTGAAGAGAACCATCAGTCTGAGGGGAGGAGAAGGGACAAAATGAGGAGGCCAAGGGCCAGTTTATTTGATTGACGAGATAAAACTGTGCTCTTTGCAAGCCATAGTCCCAAAGTCTCATAAAAACCAGCAGATGGCTAAGTGACAAGTAGCCTAATATTTGAAAAATAAGATAGCTCAGCAGTGCTAGCTTGTCCCCAGACAGAAGAGACATAGCCTTGTAGTTGGGTCATAGCTTCTTTCTTCCTGAATCTCCCTGGGTGAGAAGTCCTGTAGGAGGCCCAGCTCTTGAGCTATGTGCTCATTGTCCGTACAGCAAAAGATGAATTCTCTGGATTGTGAAGCATACATTCCTAGAATTAATGCGTTTCTAGTGAGCCAAGATGATTGTGAAGTGTTCTCAAGAACTTTCAGATGTTATTCCCAGAGCAATGTGTGCCGTGTTGAGAAGAAACTGAAAGCTGAATGCAACTAGCTCAGCATCTTTTAAAGGAAGAGGAGAGAGGGAGAAAGAAGAGAGAAAGGAGTGGGGAGAGAGGGCTTTTATTTGTGAAGCACTTACTTTCTGGAATAATTGGTAGACTTTCTGAAAAGGTGTAGACTGTGTTTATGTTAGTCAGCTTACCATTACTAACAAATACTGAGATTATCAACTCACGGAGAGAAAAAGATCATCCTGGCTCACAGCCTAGGAGGATCCATGATTGATTAAGTCTGTGGAGAGGAATTAGCATATCATGGCAAGGAGCATGCCAAAGAGCAGAGCTGTTCACTTCATAGGCAGGAATGGATGGGAGAAAAGGGAGAGGAAGAGACTGAGGATATGGCCCCTGAATGAAAAAAAGAAATAATGTCTGAGTGAGGTAACCCAGAACCAGAAAGACAAACACGTTATGTACTCACTCATAACAGGCTACAATCCACAGCCCCAGAAAAGCTAGGTAACGAGGACTCTAAGAGGAATGCATGGATTTCCCTGGGAAGGGGAAATAGATGAGATTTCCTGGGTAAACTGGGGGCAGGTGGAGGGGGTGGAGGGGAGGGGAACATGAGAGATTGGGTTGAGGTGAGACAGAGGGGGAGAGTAATGAAAGAGATCTTGATAGAGGGGGCCATTTTGGGGTTAGGGAGAAACCTAGTGCCAGGGAAACTCCCAGGAATCCACAGAGATGACTCCAGCTAGGACTCCTAGTAATAGTGGAGAGGGTGCCTGAACTGGCCTTCTCCTGTAATCAGATTGGTGACTGCCTATTGTAATCAGAGACTCCATCCAATAACTGATGGAAGCAGATGCAGAGATCCACAGCCAAGCACTGGGCCTAGCTCTGGGAGTCCAGTTGAAGAGAGGGAGGAGGGATTGTATGAGCAAGGGGAGTGGGGGAAGATCATGATGGGGGGAACCCACAGAGACAGCTGATCTAAGTTAGAGGGAGCTCACTGACTCTGGACTGACAGCCAGGGAACTTGCATGGGACCGACCTAGGCTCTCTGCTTGTGGTGACAGTTGTGTAGTTTGGTCTGTTTCCCCTAGCAGTGGGATCAGGACCTGTCCCTGGCACATGAGCTGGCTTTTTGGAACCTATTCCCCATGCTGGGATGCCTTGCCAAGCCTTGATGCAAGGAGAGGAGCTTGGTTCTGCCTCAACTTGATATACCATGCTTTGTTGATGCCCATGGGAGGCCTGCCCATTTCTGAACGGAGGAGGAGTGGATGGAGTGATAAATGGGAGGTGGGGGGAGGGAACAGGAAGAGAGGAGAGAGAGGAAACTGTGGTTGATATGTAAAATAAATGAAAAAATTTAATAGAGAAAAAGAAATAAAAAGGAAAGAAATAAAAAAAAAAAGACTGCTCCTAGATATGGTGAAGGAGAAGGTTTATTATCCATAGAGGGAGAGCATAGCCAGAGGCACGGACATCTGGGAGACTCCAGAGTGAACATGGCTATACTGAGCTGGGCCATATGAAGAGAAGGGGAAGGGAGAGGGGTTGAGGAGTCGCTGACCGAGAGAGGTGGCCTGGGCTAAGAGACTGGCCAAGAGAGTCAAGGGTAGACGAAAAGAGAAAAGGGGATTAGAAGAGCAAAATAGCTGGATTATAGGGAAGGGCAGCTGGAAAAAGGGCAGCCCAGCCCTGGGCTGGAGAAGTTTGGGGTAGGGAGTCTTTATGCCATCTAGGAGGGCCCTTAACAGATAGGGACTGAGGAATGCCGTGAGAACCTGGCAGCCAGATCTACTTTGATGTGATAAATAGGCACATCAGCTGATATTCAGGAGAATGGGTCATTGGTTGAAATCTGAAATTTCTTGGGTTTGGATGAGGACAGGTATTGCCTTCTGCCTCTCAAGCTCAGAAGGATGAAGTAATCTTTGAAGGAAATGATATTGAGCTTGTTTCAGATTCAGTGGCCTGATTTAGCAAGCCACAACAGGTAACAACAAGGATATCAGAAAGTTTTTGAATGGTATCTTCGTGTCTGAAAAGGGAATAGTGTGGCAGGCTAATGAGTAAGACCTA